AAGCCCACAGCCTGACAGGAATTCGTTTGATCACAAAGTGGTCCTGAGGAGCGTGGGGAATGCACCATCACAATCAGGATGAAACGGGCCGTGTCACAGCACCACTTTGGAGCTGCTTGGAAAGAGCTTAAATGAGCCCTGAGGTCACACACAGTGAGAAGGGTCAATATGGCCAAACCCCAGCTCTCTTGGACAGCCCCTTCCCTTGCAAGCACCTCTCCCCCAAGGAAGGCACTGCTTGCAGCAGGGGAAGGGACAAGAGCAAGCTGGTAGGGCTGGAAGTCCCATACCCTGCAGCCAGGGAGCAGCTAAAAAGGGAATTCAGAAGCCTGCCTACGCAAGCCACATTTATTGGTGTCTCTCCAGTACTTCATGGACTGTTATCCATCAAAAGCAGCACTGAAATTGGCACTCTTCACAGAAAAGGAAGGGATCCACCCCAAAACACTAAATGTCAGGAAACTTTTGTGACACAGGATGAAGAAACACATGCTGCTGCTGCAGTTCAAAGTGTTTCTGCCCAGAAGATAACTGGGAGGCAGTATGGCTGGGATGGGCTGCTGGTCCACATGTTCTACCAGTATCAGGACCACAAAAACCTCCAGAGCCCTTCCTGCAAGCTCTCCCTGAGGGCTGGAAGCTGAATGACTAACTAACCAGTGTGCACCACCAATCCCAGAAAGTTGGTACCTGGAGAGCCTCCCCCTTAAGAGGCAGATTTCAGGAAATATACAAGGAGCTGAAATAAGACCTCCACCTTCACAAGTTAATTTTAACATGGTCAGACAAAGAGGTATGGGCAAAGAGCCACAGTAACCCAAAGAAGTAGAACTGATGAGATGAAATAACCATTTGGATTATAAAAATATTAGAGTCGGTGGTTCAATTAAGAGCACACATTATTTGTCTCTCCAAAGAAAAGTAGAAGGCTTACACAAAAAGAAGAGCTCTCACAATATGAAAGTAAATCATAGCCTTTAAAAAGCCCATCTAAAATCATTACTTCATGCTGTTTATCATTGCTTGTTTCTTTCAGGAAAGCCAGAAGGTACAGCTTACATGTCCAAGTAGAAATTCTGAACTAATTAGAACAAGTTAAAGCCCCAGCTGGGCCCATCCAGCCCCCTTCTTTTCAGGTGCAGGGGAGCACAGGGAAGTGCCATTATGGCATGATGTGTTGTGTTGCCCAGAGGTACTTTCTGCAAGGAAAAAAACCCCTTCCTTCTGCAATTTCTGAAGGAGACGTTGCTCTAATTGTACTCTCATGAAGAAGTTGGATAGAACTCTATTTAATTACCACAACAAAATCACAGGAAACTTAGTATTTGGAGGGTTTTTAGAATTATTACAGTATGAATAATTCTGAAAGCATGATGGAAAAAGGGGTCCTTATGCTGGCTTAACTTCATTGCAATTCCTGACGTAGGACCTGCAAAGGCATGAGTCAGTGTGCAGGAGCTGATGTATTTCCTCGTTTTTGTGGAGTGAAAGAAAGGTGATGTTCAGCATCACTTTCCCCTGCTCTCATTTAAGTCTTTCATCAGTATACTAATTTTTGAGCCTTCTAACTATCAGCTGAGGGGTGGCACATCTTAAAAGAGAAAATTATTTATTCCTAGTGCTTAGCAGCACTTGAATAAGGTAAGAGAAAAAAAAAGTGTTGTAAGTAGTCTGGACAAAATTAAATGCCTCATTCCATTATGCAGTTGTTGTCTAATATCTGTAAGTCCTCTTCTACATACAGTTGGAGAATATGACACTCCTGTAAAAAAGGGTTAAAAAAGGGTTAGAAAAGGTTGGAGAAAACCTTAATTTCTGGGAGGAAAAAATTAAGGGAATCTACTAAAAAATAAAAATAAATTAAAAAAAAACGAAGCCTCCTTCAGCTCATAAATATGCTTAAAAAAATGGGAAAAAACCCACCAAAACCACGGGAGGAAGAAAGGAAAGGTCCAGTTTGCTTTCTCATGCCCCTGGCTGAGTGGGTGGTAGGGTGAGGCCCCCATTGCAGCTGGGGCACTCCTGAAGAGCACTACCTGCATGCTTCCCCAGCACCATCCTGCCACTGCAGCCCAGCAGTGTGGGAACAGGAGGAGTTGTCTCCTGCTGCAAGGAAGCAACCTGGTGAACCAATAACACCTTTCATCTCTGTTTACTTATCTTCTGGGTTTTTTTAAATGGCTACCAAAAAAAAAAAAGGCATGATGGTTGGGGAGGGAGGGGGAAATAAGTATTTTATAGTGAAAGAGGGTAAAGGAAAATGCAGACTTGGCATTTTTGCAGTGAAGAGTGAATGTCCTTCCCAGATCCATAAGCTGAAATCTCCCTGAAAATCATAGAATCATAGAATGGTTTGGGTTAAAAGGGGACCTTGAAGATCATCTATTTCCAACCACCCTACCATGGGCAGGAACACTTTCAACTAGACCGGGTTGCTCAGAGCCCCATCCAACCTGGCCTTGAACACCTCCAAGATGCCTCCAAAATTGGAGGCTCCCCAGGGTTTCTCAGGGAAGCCACAGCCCTCCACCCAGAAGGGCACCCTTTGGCCCTAGACAGAGTGCTCCAGTATCGGATGGGAGCACCCCAGGGCTGGGGACCACTAGAGCAAGCAGCAGCAGGTGGGGGGTCAGACAAAGGGACCCTGAGGTGGAGGCATAGCCGGGTGCTCTGCCAGACAGAGTGGGTTCTCACACTTGCCCCAGTGCTGCATGGAGATGGGAGATAATGAGCAGGGATGCTTCTTGTGGTCTTTGCTGAGTCAGAGCTGACTGGCCAAAGAAACACCTAGAGTACAGTGAGAAGTTTCCTTGAGCTCTTCCTGGTTTCTCCGTGAGTTTGTTTTATTGGGGTCTTCCACCTGATGCAACATTTTGGGGCTTAATATGTACACTGCTATGCCACTCTCTACAAAACTGGCTCTGGAGTAGCAGAAAGAAAAGCAAAGTTAGGTGAAGCATGTCTAAAAATAACTGCAGAGCTATCACCCCATCTTCAGTGCACCTATGTCAGCCAAGCAAGACAGCCATATGGGCACTAACATGGCACTTAGTAGCTTTCTATGGGAGACATCAGTGTTTCCTTTCCCAGAAGGGAGAGTTCAGTCTTTCAAGGAACAAAATGATTCAAACCCTGCACTTGGTGCTCAAAGCCCACGGCGTGCTCCAGAGGCTGTCTGGAGGCAGTGAAAGAGTTACATCTGGAGCAGAGCAGCAGCTCCGGGTGATGAAGTGGATAAGCAGGCACTCCATTCATCTGCTTTGAACACTGCCTGACCTTGGGCCCTGGCAGAGGAAAGGCGTCTGCTCCTGCAAACAAAGGGCAAGGGAAGGAGGATGACTCAGGAATCCTGGTGGCCCACATGGGATGAGGGCAGGGCAGCTGTGCTGCTCCATGGCCATGCCTGGCAAGTGGCAAGGCTCACTGTCTGCAATGCACCCGCTGCAGGAAATGAATCCATATGCTGCCCAGGACCATCTTCTGTTTAAACTGGGGGGGGGGGGGGGGAATTCTTGATTTTTTGTTTATTTGGTTGGTTGGTTTCTCTTTTTTTTACTTGCCTCATTATGGGAGCACATGCTTGAAGGTGGAGTTTATACTGGGTTGGACTGTGACGTCTGGAGAGATGAAAGTCCACTTGGGTAAAAATGGTGGTTGGGGTTTTCTACCAATTATTTTTCAAAAGGTGCATTGGAGTGACCTAAATGCAAATGCTCAAGGAGGAGAAACATGAAATGCTGAGGGCTGAACCTTTTCAAGCCCAATTACTGGACGTCTCCCACCTGTAGCCCTGCTGTGGCAAAGCACGTGCTGAAGCAGTAGGATCAGGGCTATAAGTAGCTCAGCTAACCCCTGGTGCCATTAATTTCCACACAATCCAGTGTTTTTTCCTCCCCCCTGAGGAGAGGCTGTGTTGGTGTGGGAACTGCAGCTGCACCATAACACCCTGCGCACCATGCAGCGTGTCCCACACTACTTCGGGGGCAAAGTAGACACATGGAGTAGATCCAGCCGGCAGGTGCCACACTTGCAGGTGAGTGGGTGGCTGGGTGTCCCCAGAGCAGTGTCCTATCCAGTCCCACCAAGAGCGGCTGCCCTGCCAGCAGGATGGATGGACACGCAGGGTTTGGCCGGGGTGCAGAAGGAAAGGATCCAGGGGCTCTGTTGACATAACAAGCCACTAGAGAGCACTCTCAAATGTATTTATACCCTTTGCATAAGTGCTAGTTCATAAAAACACGCGGTTGCCATGGCCTGGTTTACAGCAAATCTAAAAAGAGAGCTCCCAAACATACCAGGTTTTCTGAGGCCACTGCAAAGGCAGTCAAAGCCTCCCCTGTGTGGCACCTTTCCCACCCCCTGGGACCCAGGCACACAGCGGTACCCACCGGCTCCACACATACCGTCTTGCCCCACGCTGCTGCCTGTTTACAAGTGTCAGGACAGTATCAAAAAAAAAAAAAGAAAAAGAAAAAATAATATTGTACTTGGGCAACTATAGCTTTTTCAATTTTTTTTTTATATACAAGGAAATGCAGGAACTGTTTAAAGCTCCTAGTTTCCTTATACTTAGTGCCAGAAGTAAAAAGAAACCATAAATGTAAAAATGGCAGCAGATTAGTTCAGCAGCTATCAACAAAAACACTGTGCAGTTGAACTGCCAGGAAAAAAATATCTTGGAAAAAAAAAGTAATGGAAGTGAGTTTGGAAAAAAAAAAATAAAAAAATCACACATTCTTCATTAAAACACTTTTAATACTACACAAATTACAGTATCACCTTTTAAAAAGTTTAAAAAGGAATATTAACAGTAGCACTGTTGCAGCTAAAGCACTTAAAAATTATAGGAAAAAAGAAAAAAGCTTGTAGCCCAGGAAGTAGTAATAAAGGGAGAATCCACTGGAGCGTTATTGTAATTCAGCAAAGCAACCAAAAGAAAAAAGCAACATTCAATGTGAAAAAAATGAGCTATGTATGAACACCCTCAAATTTTAGTTTGGTTTTTTTTTTTTATTTTATTTTGCAGTTCTGAAGTTTTATGGTGCAGATTAGACTTGTCTAGGGGCTGAAAGTCAGCTGTGTGAGCACAGCCACCACCATGTGCCATTTCTTCTCCATCAGTGTTGTTTCTGGGCCACTGCCTGGCATCACCAGCTGGGGAGTTTCCATCCTCTCCAGGAGTTCCAGAGCTGCAGGAGTGGAGCAGCTGGCAGGAAGAGGAGGAAGGTGTGCTTCCTTACAAGCCTCTCCACCGAGTCCCATCAATGTCCCTTGGCCCCAAAACAAGGGTACACTTTGTCAGGAGCAGGTCTCTCCCTCGGCACGCTCAGAGCTGGGCTACCTGATAACACAAAAGGGTTTTTTCTTTTAGGGAGTCTTTGGGATTTCAGTTTTGCTTCTCTTTAAAGCGTAGGGATACCACCTTAATCAAAAACATGAACTTCATCCCATGTGAGGTATTAGGCCAAGCAACTTTGAAGAACTTGTTACCATCTATCAGCTCAAATTCCATTTTTTTAATAAAGTGCCTAAATACACATTTACACAGATCATAGTGGTTCCAAAGAATCCTTTACAGTTGGCATTTTTTTATATATAGATATATATATAGGTATATATATATAATGTGCGTCTTCTTCAAATTGGCTAAGTGTGTTTACATAAGACACCAATCTTGACTATAAGTTTTAAAGCGTAATATTGACTTCACTGAATTTGTTTATCATGCAAGTCTTATCTAATATTACATTGACCTGTAATATGGAACACAATGTAGTGGGTGTGCTCATTAAACACTTCATAAAAAATTACTGTGCATGTGCAGTTCTGATCTTCAAATACTAATAATGATCATTTCTTTTTTTTTTTTAAATGTAGTCTTCCAAAAAGATCTACTCTGCATTAAATTGCAGTTTGAACATTATCACAATAAGAACAGTTGACTAAAAAGCACCCAAAATTTTTCAAATTTATAGTTGGCTGAACAGATTTTTCCTCCTCCTCTTCGATAACGAAAGTGTTTATTAGCTGGTCCCTGGGAAGGGACGACCTCACCACCCTTTTGCTCAGAAACAACGACATATAACTAAGTTATAAACACCTCAACAGAAGGGCTCGTACAGCTGCAGCGTTGCCAACAAACTATAAACAGCACAAAAACATCACTATAAGACTTGAACTATTTCTAGTAACCAATGATTTATTGATTTTAGAAGTCTGCTTGGTGATGCAGAAGCGTAATCAAAAGAAGTGGCTTTACAAAAGAGTTCTCCAAAGTAGCTTAAAAGGCAGGGCCAGGGCCATTATGTACAGCCCTAATTGCTTTCATTTCAACCAGTTTATATTTTCATTTTCAAAGAATAGCAGTAGGTTTGTTTCAAGCATACGTAATAAGGAAATTACAGGTTTCCTCCACCCACATTTGGGCTGTCACTGATATGCCCGTGGGCAATTTGGCAGAGCCTCAGTCACTGCTGTCACTGTACCACACCGTACCTGCCACTACTTGGAAATACCGGGTCAGTGATAGTAACAACAGCAACAGCACTAGAGGCGACTGATAAGCAAAATCAAAGTCCATCTGCACTATCTGGAAATTTAAGTAAAATCAAAAACAAAAAAAAAGTTTCTTCCCCACCTCCCCAGCTTTGTCCAAAGACACGAAAGCCCCGGAAGTGACACTGAAGGCCTTCAGAAATGGCAGTGCTACATTGGCGCCTTCGCCAATCAGGTAATTAAGTTCATTATCAAAATTCCACGTTATGGTATGCAATCGGTGAATAAATGCAGTTTTGTAATCTTACAACTGATCACGTGAACTGCGGTCAACTTTGCCTTAAAAAAAAAACAAAACAAAACACCAAACCAAAAACAAACAAACCCAGAAATCCCTAACTCAACAGCGCCTCTTGGACACTTCTCCACATCCTCTGGAGGCAACTTCCCTTGAGAAAGAGTGAGCAATTTGGGACTGGATCTGGAGGATCTTCCATTGCAACACGAGCTATGCATTTCTGGGAGAAAGCCTTCATGCTCCCTAAGCTTGCCTGGCCAAGTGGGATGGCAAAGGGCATCCCTGTCTTGGTTAGCCACTCTTGTTCCCAACCACCTCAGACCAAGCCTGCATGCGACCAGCTCTACAGGACAGGGGCCAGGAATAAGGAATCACAGACAATAAGGCAATCTTTACAATGTCAGAAAGTGTATTTGGCATTTAAAAAAAAAAAGAAAAGAAAAGAAAAAAAGAAGAAACAAGTGCATACAAATACAGCTAGAAGCATTTCTGGTTTGCCAAGTGCTCTCTAAAAAAAGCAGCGCAAGTCACAGCCTACATTGAACAGTAACTGTCACCAGGGAAGCACAACAAATAGTTGCTATAACAAAAGGGGAAAAAAAAAAGGCAAAAAAAAAGAGAAGAATTAGAAGAAATGCCTTTATAATAAGTACATACCTCTTGTCTTCAAAAAATATAGAAACACAATGTATTCAAAAAAAATCAAAATTATACAGCCATGTTTATGAAGTCTACATTTCCCTTGTCTTGGAGATATATATATATTTATATATATATATTTATAGATATATACATAATTCGAGCAGTTCGAGTTCAAGGTGATGTTGGGCGGTGAGCACAGGCGAGTCACGAGTCCCTCTCCTTTTTCACTTTCACATCTCCGGCCAGGATGGTGGCAATCTCCCCTTGCATGAAGGCCCAGGGCACGTTGGAGCCAACCAGGGGACACTTCTCCCCGCTGGGGCAATACACCTCCCCGCTGGCTCCCTGCTGCTTGATGCTCTGCCGGGAGCAGGGGAAGCAGAACTTGTGGGAGGGGACGGAGGGGCACTGCACGAAGTGGGTGTCTTCCAGGCGCTCGTGGCAGAGGGTACAACACAACGGAACGCTGGCGGCGAG